AATCATATGATTGTAAACAAAAGGTCCGGCATAAAAACTTCACTCCCAGCAACCGGTTGTCAAAAACTTCACGTGAAGAAGCAGCAAACATAAATAAGTTCTCAAAATCCATCCCTTTTTTTTCTTCTTTCCCTATGGCTTTTTTGATACTCAACTCAAAAATTGTGTTTTCATATTAGTGGTACCACAATTATGATATTAAGTTGAATGTTGGATACATATAGCACCCCCCAAGCCCAAAGGATACATGGTAATAGGAATCTCTCTTCTGCCATGAAATGATCAGACCAGTGCTGACGTCGATCGGCTTTTATGAAGCTGAAAGGCTGGGGTGATCCAGCTACACAACTGCATTGGATGCTGACCAGTTGAAATAACCCAAGCGGCCATCGCAATGGGGCAATAAAAGCTTGCCCTCCAATGCACCAATCTTCAACTGTTCATGCAATCAATACTAAAGATGAAACCAAAGTTGCAAAGAAAAAAGGTAAAGACATACTTTGTGTTACAGTAGACAAATCTAGATGGGGCTAATTTGAGAGCAAACATGAATAGCTTTCAATATGGAAACAAAGGCAACAATTCTTTGAGATATGCAAGTAACCATCAAAGGATTGATCTATTACCAACTCAGAAGTTAACAACATCATCAACATCATTCAATGACAACCACAATCCATGCCCATCAGTCAACTTGTTTTGCATAATTTATCTGTTTCTACAGCTTTATTCAGCAATATGCTTCGAGCATCAGAAACTCTAGATAAGATAAAATGAAGTAGTTAATATTTTGTACCTGTTTGTCATCCAACGTAGAGGCTCAATAAAGATGGATGAGCACTCAATCTCATCAGACTTGTTAAAAGGGTTGCGACTTTTTCTCTTATGCCACTCGAAAGGATGTCTCCCCCTCCCCGGGAACATGGTCCAGAAGATTCTCTTGCAATGCAACAACTCTCCTGCATTTCTTGCAGCGATATGCACGAGTAGAAACTATTTTCTGCTACCTCAGTTGTTCTTACTCAGAGGAAGCTTCTTCAGTCGGCAGCCAGGATCAGCCCCAATTTAGAACTGTCTATTTTTTCTCCTCGATTGTAGGAATCACTATCATCAATATGAGGCACAATCTTTAATAAATGGACAGCCCAAAACGCAATAAACTCTTTACTCAAAAAAAGAAAGAAAAAAAGGTAAATGTACATACTAATAAAATAGGGAAAATATCAAATACGCCATACTTTTCCAATAAAATTTCCAGGGAGTCCTATTAACCATATGTTGAGAGTGTTGATTCATGTGTTGATAAGACCAATGGAAATTTCAGAAAAGTAGGACTACGGATATTTTCCTAAGAAGTATGGAAGCATTTCTTTATTGGTGTGATCAGGCAACATTCTCTTAATTAATTAAAAGTGACTTAAGGTGATGAATTTGAGTAAAATGGTTAATCGTTATAAAATTAATAGGCCTCATGGACATTTGAAAATTTGAGGGAAAAAAGAAAGGGGCCATGCAAGCATTTTCTCTTAAAGATGTATCAATTCCAATTAACTATACATATCACATTAACAGTTCATGAAGAAATTGAATTAATAGTGCTTAGCCTCAAATACCAGAAAGATGTCACAAATTATTGAAAGAAAAGAGGAATAATAGAAAGGGAAATTTACTGTAAGGTTCTGGTGTCCCACATCGGGAATGGAGGAGCGGTTTTTGAGTTATAAAAGTAAAAATTTGGACCCTTAAATAGCATCGAGGCCTTTTCCGAGTGGTGAAATTCTAGCAGAACTCCCCAGTTAAGTGTGGCTTAGGCTAGAGTAATTCTGGGATGGGTGACCCACTGGGAAGAACAATCCGTGCGGGCGTGGACACAAAGCGGATAATATCGATGACATATGAAGGATTGGGTGGTTACATTTACAAATCAGTGCCATGGCCAAAAATAATCACAACACAGCAAAAGTTACACCCCAACAAGATTCCCATCTTTTTAATAAATAATTGCCCATTTCCCCATTGAATGGTAATTTCCCCTAATAAAAAATGGTGGGGTACTATTCAAACTATTAATGCTCAGCTCACAATTGAAATCAAATTCTCAACTAAACAAAATCTTATTATGATCTGGTAAATGTTTCTGAAAGAATTTGTTGCCAAATCCTAGACGAGCTTGTCTGAATGGTAAGAATAAATTAAATTAATGCTGCTTTTTCCTTTTTTGTTTTATCAAGTATGTTGCTTTGCTTTCCATTTTTGTTTTCGACAAGTATGTTGCTTTTTCATATTCCATAAATCTAAGGCAAATTACACACAATCAGATCATGACCTTCCCATTCATTTCTTGCTACTCTCATTCACATCATTTCCAGACCCCACCAACTTCATGTTCCCTATATTCCCAATGGATATTTACTTATTTGCATAAGGACCGTAATGAGTTGCTTTATCCCAAAAATCGTACTCAGTCTACGGGCTGTTGACATCTCACAATGCTCTTACTCCCCCACTATCATCCCAGAATTCTGCATTAACAAATACTGTTCTCTATGCCTCCTCACTTAAATAAAAATTGATAATTTTTTATATTATTGAGGCAAAACAACATTACTCTGAAAAGAACAATCATAATCAAAGTAAATAAACACCAAAAATAGAAAATAGTGATAATAAGCAATAAGAATGAGACCTACACTTTCAAACGGAAGCGTTTGTATATAGGGCTAGTGTGATCGATCTTGAAACTCATTTCTTCAAACATTTTTAACTGCAAGGAGACAAAAAAAGCATCCATGATAAACAAAACATAATGCAAGTAAAACTAAGAAGCATTTTGGAACACTACTTATAAACATTTGATACAGCATTGCCTTGCTCACTGTTTCAAAAAAATCATTGGGAAACAAATTCACAGCTTTGCTGTAAAGATTTCAAGTGCATCTGCACAAGTATGTAGAGAAAAAAGAAAAAAGGAAATGACTAAAATAAAAATGTGTACAGAAATTGTCAACCAGCTTTATCACCACTACAAAAAAAAAAAAAAAAAAAAAAAAATAGAAGCACAAGCAAATTTGATAGGCCCACACACTCCAAATAAGGATATGCTCAAACCTTTTTGTGATAGTTGTTCAGTTCTCATCAGGTATGCTGTAATGATAGCTGCACTGCAACGAACACAGCAAAAAGAGTGTAAAACCTGTAGAACTTGATAAAGCAGAAAACTAGATCTGTCAGAATATATGCTTCTATGGACACTATCTCACAATAATAGCAAAGACTGACATGAGTGGAAAGTGGTTTACATGGACTTTTTAGAAATGCTTAATTCACATAGAAGACAAATGACTTGTAGATGGAAGTGCATCTGACTATGAATGCTATAATTTTTGTGCACGTAAAATAAAGCACCAGTGCATTGATGTAAAACCATAAGGTTTAGGGCAATCAAACAAGGATATTTCAAATTAGAATTTGGTGTAATGAGGATTTGGATTGATTAAGAATTGATTGGACTCAACTTCAGGAACAGAATGTAGGATTTTTGAGGCTATTCAGGTTTTTTTTTTTTTTTTTTTTTTTTTTTTTTTTTTTTTTTTTTTTTTGGTCTCTTTTCTTTTGGTGTTAAGGTAGAAGAAGGATTGAGCAAAAGGAAAAAAAAATAAGCTTGTCTGTTAGGATTTTCATGACATAAAATTGAATTGAATTCTATTCTGATAATTTAAAGCTAAAGTGCAGATACTATGGAAGTAGAAGAAAAGAAGGATATTCTAGTTTATCTATCTAGAACACTTCAGGCATCACAGTATGCTTTGACTACTAATTTAGAAATAAATTTATAAAAATTACGATTTTGTAAAACTTCTTTAAACTAAATAAGAACCATAGTAGGAATCAAATACATACTTGACTCAGTACAACCATGGGCAACCTCTATAGCCATTTCTAAATAATGAAAAATAAAAAATAAAAAAAACACATTCAACCAATGAGAATGACCAATACAATCACAGTAAGAATACCAATTACATAACTTGTCAACTGCAACCATGGGCAACCCCCTACAGTCCTTTCTGGTCATTCTCATTAGTCAAAAGGGTTTTTTTTTTTCCCTTTTTCAAAAATCTAGTTTTTCAGAAATGGACTGTAGGGGGTTGCCCATGGGTTGCAGGTGCACAGTTATGTAATTGGATTCTTACTGTGATTGTATTTGGTCATTCTCATTGGTTGAATGGTTTTTTTTATTTTTTTATTTTTTCATTATTTAGAAATGGGCTATAGAGGTTGCCCATGGGTTGTACTGAGTCAAGTATGTATTTTGATTCCTAATATGGTTCTTATTTAGTTTAAAGAAGTTTTACAAAATCGTAATTTTTATAAATTTATTTCTAAATTAGTAGTCAAAAGCATACTGTGATGCCTGAAGTGTTCTAGGATAACTAGAATATCCTTCTTTCTTCTACTTCCATAGTATCTGCCTTTAGCCTTTAAATTATCAGAATTAGATTCAATTCAATTTATGGTCATGAAAATCCTAACAGACAAGCTTTTTTTTTTTCCTTTTGCTCAATCCTTCTTCAACCTTAACACCTAAAGAAAAGAGACAAAAAAAAAACCTGAATAGCCTCAGAAATCCTACATTCTTGTTCCTGAAGTTGAGTCCAATCAATTCTTAATCAATCCAAATCCTCATTACACCAAATCCTAATTTGAATATCCTTGTTTGATTGCCCTAAACCTTATGGTTTTACATCAATGCACTGGTGCTTTATTTTACGTGCACAAAATTATAGCATTCATAGTCAGATGCACTTCCATCTACAAGTCATTTGTCTTCTTATGTGAATTAAGCATTTCTAAAGTCCATGTAAACCACTTTCCACTCATGTCAGTCTTCTGATTATTGTGAAGATAGTGTCCATAGAAGGCATATATTCTGACAGATCTAGTTTTCTGCTTTATCAAGTTCTACAGGTTTACACTCTTTTTTGCTGTGTTCGTTGCAGTGCAGCTATCATTACAGCATACCTGATGAGAACTGAACAACTATCACAAAAAGGTTTGAGCATATCCTTTATTTTGGAGTGTTGTGGGCCTATCAAATTTGCTTGTGCTTCTATTTTTTTGTTTTTTTTTTTGGTAGTGGTGATGAAGCGTTGACAATTTCTGTACTCATTTTTATTTTATCATTTCCTTTTTTCTTTTTTCTCTACATACTTGTGCAGATGCACTTGAATCTTTACAGCAAAGCTGTGAATTTGTTTGTCCCAATGATGGTTTTCTGGAACAGGTGAGGCAAGGCAATGCTGTATCAAATGTTTTATAAGTAGTGTTCCAAAATGCTTCTTAGTTTTACTTTGCATTATGTTTTGTTTATCATGGATGCCTTTTTTTGGTCTCCTTGCAGTTAAACATGTTTGAAGAAATGAGTTTCAAGATCGATCACACTAGCCCTATATACAAACGCTTCCGTTTGAAAGTATTAGGTCTGATTCTTATTTGCTTATTATCACTATTTTCTATTTTTGGTGTTTATTTACTTTTGATTTATGATTGTTCTTTTCAGAGGTAATGTTTGTTTTGCTCAATAATATAAAAATTATCAATTTTTATTTTAAGTGAGGAGGCATAGAGAACAGTATGTTGTTAATGCAGAATTCTGGGATGTGATAGTGGGGGAGTAAGAGGCATTGTGAGATGTCACAGCCCGTAGACTGAGTACGATTTTTTTGGGGATAAGCAACTCATTACGGTTCCTTTATGCAAATAAGTAAATATCCATTGGGAATATAGGGAACATGAAGTTGGTGGGGGTCTGGAAATGATGTGAATGAGAGTAGCAAGAAATGAATGGGAAGGTCATGATCTGATTGTGTGTAATTTGGCTCTAGATTATGGAATATGAAAAAGCAACATACTTGTCAAAACAAAAATGGAAAAGCAAAGCAACATACTTGATAAAACAAAAAAGGAAAAGCAGCATTAATTTAATTTATTTCTTACCATTCAGACAAGCTCGTCTAGGATTTGGCAACAAATTCTTTCAGAAACATTTACCAGATCATAATAAGATTTGGTTTAGTTGAGAATTTGATTTCAATTGTGAGCTGAGGCATTAATAGTTTGAATAGTACCCCACCATTTTTATTAGGGGAAATTACCATTCAATGGGAAATGGGGCAATTATTTATTAAAAGATGGGAATCTTGTTGGGGTGTAACTTTTGCTGTGTTTGTGATTATTTTTGGCCATGTGCACTGATTTGTAAATGTAACCACCCAATCCTTCATATGTCATCGATATTATCCGCTTTGTGTCACGCCCGCACGGATTTGTTCTTCCCAGTGGGTCACCCATCCCAGAATTACTCTAGCCTAAGCACACTTAACTGGGGAGTTCTGCTAGGAATTTCACCACTCGGGAAAAGGCCTCGATGCTATTTAAGGGTCCAAATTTTTACTTTTATAACTCAAAAACGCCTCCTCCATTCCCGATGTGGGACACCAGAACCTTACAGTAAATTTCCCTTTCTATTATTCCTCTTTTCTTTCAATAATTGGTGACATCTTTCTGGTATTTTGAGGGCTAAGCACTATAATTCAATTTCTTCATGAACTGTTAATGTGATATGATATAGGTTTAATTGGAATTGATACATCTTTAAGAGAAAATGCTTGCATGGCCCCTTTCTTTTTTTCCCTCAAATTTTCAAATGTCCATGGAGGCCTATTAATTTTATAACATTAACCATTTTACTCAAATTCATCACCTTAAGTCACTTTTAATAATTTAAGAGAATGTTGCCTGATCACACCAATAAAGAACTGCTTCCATACTTCTTAGGGAAAATATCCGTAAGTCCTACTTTTCTGAAATTTCCATTGGGTCTTATCAACACATGAATCAACACTCTCAACATATGGTTAATAGGACTCCCTGGAAATTTTATTGGAAAAGTATGGCGTATTTGATATTTTCCCTATTTTATTAGTATGTACATTTACCTTTTTTTTCTTTTTTTCTTTTTTGAGTAAAGAGTTTATTGCGTTTTGGGCTGTCCATTTATTTAAAGATTTTGTGCCTCATATGATGATAGGTGATTCCTACAATCGAGGAGAAAAAATAGACAGTTCTAAATTTGGGGCTGATCCTGGCTTGCCGACTGAAGAAGCTTCCTCTGAGGTAGGAACAACTGAGAGTAGCAGAATAGTTTCTACTCGTGCATATCGCTGCAAGAAATGCAGGAGAGTTGTTGCATTGCAAGAGAATCTTCTGGACCATGTTCCCGGGGAGGGGGAGACATCCTTCGAGTGGCATAAGAGAAAAAGTCGCAACCCTTTTAACAAGTCTGATGAGATTGAGTGCTCATCCATCTTTATTGAGCCTCTACGTTGGATGACAACAGGTACAAAATATTAACTACTTCATTTTATCTTATCTAGAGTTTCTGATGTCGAAGCATATTGCTGAATAAAGCTGTAGAAACAGATAAATTCTGCAAAACAAGTTGACTGATGGGCATGGATTTGGTGTTGTCATTGAATGATGTTGATGTGTTGTTTAACTTCTGAGTTGGTAATAGATCAATCCTTTGATGGTTACTTGCATATCTCAAAGAATTGTTGCCTTTTGTTCCATATTGAAAGCTATTCATGTTTGCTCAAATTAGCCCCATCTTAGATTTGTCTACTGTAACACAAAGTATGTCTTTACCTTTTTTCTTTGCAACTTTGGTTTCATCTTTAGTATGATTTGCATGAACAGTTGAAGATGGTGCATTGGAGGGCAAGCTTTTATGTGCCCATTGCGATGGCCGCTTGGGTTATTTCAACTGGTCAGGCATCCAATGCAGTTGTGGTAGCTGGATCACCCCAGCCTTTCAGCTTCATAAAAGCCGAGTCGACGTCAGCACTGTCTGATCATTTTCATGGCAGAAGAGAGATTCCTATTACCATGTATCCTTGGGGGCTTGGGGGGGGTGCTATATGTATCCAACATCAACTTAATAATCATAATTGTGGTACCACTAATATGAAAACACAATTTTTGAGTTGAGTATCAAAAAGCATTAATACTACTAGGAAAAGAAGTAAATAACATAAAAAAGGGATGGATTTTGAGAACTTATTTATGTTTGCTTGCTTCTTCACGTGAAGTTTTTGACAACCGGTTGCTGGGGAGTGAAGTTTTAGTGCCGGACCTTTTGTTTACAATCATATGATTTGGTATTTTCCATATTGAAATGCTTCAACACTTCATGTTGGCAAAAAGATTCTGTATTTGAGATACAGTCAATTTCTTATCATTGTTGTTCCTTTCCTTTTTCATTTTCTTTTGTTGGGTTTTCTCCCTTTCTGGGATATATATATATATATATACACATATATATGGACCAGTTGGCCTGCACCTAAATCAGATTTTGGATATGCATGGGGTATGAGACAAACCAATTTTTGAAAAAAAAGAAAAAAGAAAAAGTCACTTGAAGGAAATGCTGTCTCATTCTGAATGGGACCAAATATTTTCTTATAAAATGTGTTGAAAGGACCTGATATGACCTAGCCTTCAATCCAATCTTTCATGTTCATATTAAACTCAATGAGGTTGACTGTGATACACAAGAAATGATTGTTTATAATGTCGTAGTTGCTAAATGCATCTATACTGTTGATCAAGTGACATATCTTAACCGTAAGCCTCACTTCTGACCACTTTTTTCTTCTACATGACAAGCTCAAAGTTCTTTCACTCTCCATTCTGTTGAGGAATGACAGTAATAAGATGATTGTCATTCTTTTATTCCTCTCCTTTCTATATATATATATATATATGTACATCAACAGTTGCAAAATGCTCATCTATCTTCAATATATTATTATAAAGTGAAACCTTCTCATAGTGTTTGCCTTATATTTTGAGTTTTTCACAAATATCCTTATGTTAGTTATGGGTGATCCTATTTACACACCACAATTCCTCTCACTGCGCACTATTTTTTTTAATTTTTCTTATTACATCTTCATCCATTTAGTCAATTACATTTTTAACCTTCACACTAATTTCTCAATCCATAGCCCCACCCCACCACACCACACCACCCCCACCAGCCCTAACCATAACCCTAACCCAAGCAGCTGTCGCTCGCCGCCCGTAGCCCATTACCATCGCTGTTTGGAGAATCTCACCATGACCAACCTCGTCACCCAACCCTACCATTGCGATCCAGAACTCTGTCACAACCCAAACATCCTCCATCATAGAGAGATAGAAAGAAGCCTAGGGTTTGCGAGTTACAGGGGCGACTGTGGCGTTCAGTGGCGAGGCCACCGTAGACGACAGCGTAGCTTCCGCACTGGCCTAGGAAATATGTCATTAGCTTTGACGGTTGTGCGGTTTTTTATCCCATTTTCGACAACTTTAGAGGGTTATGATTGGTGGTAAGGCAGAAGCATAGGAGACGAGGCGAGGCGAAGGTAGAGAAGGGCGAAGCAGCTAGAGAGAAGCAACGTCAGCTGTGATGGTCGTGGACCAGCGAAGGGGTGGGAGCTGCATTGGTGCCTGGAAATGAGGAGGTCGCGATGGTGATTTCTGCTGATGCTAGTAGTTGTTCGTGATGTTAGGGTTTGAATAGGAGAAGGAGAAGAAGAAAGGTTAGGGATGGGGATAAGGGATGATGGCAGTGGCTATTTTTGGTGATGATGGTTGTTGATGGTGTAGCAATGGCAGCGGTAGTAGTGGGTTAGGGTTTGGATTTGAGGTTGGAGAAGAGGGTATTTTAGTACTACTGAAAGATAGATGGTGCGTATAAAGAGAAAATGAAAGAATTTAAATTGAGAATAGTGTGAACTGAGAGAATGGTGTGCATTGAGAGGATTGGTAGAGTAATAATAGAATTATCCGTTAGTTATATACCAGTTGTCTTAAATTCATTTTTTCCCCCTAATCTTTCAACTTTTGCCACATTCATTTACAGGTTATTTACACAGCAAAAAATTACTTTACAACTTATTTAACCACACACTACTTTCCTGATTAAATCTATAATATCACAACTACACCATACAAGTTAACAACTTATGTTTAAAGTTATAATTTATAATCTGTTAAACTATAATTTATAATCACTTTCTCACAGCTATACCAAACAGGACTATAGTGCCATGCTTTTTATTAAGCAAAGTTACAACAATGCCCTCTACGCACTGACCTCCCTCTCCCAACTCTCGTCACCTAAGAGGGGCAATTTTGTAATTTGCGCAAAACTGGCTTAATAACAACTGAGTAATGCATTTGGTTAAAAGAGAAGTGCGAATAAGCACCACCCTTTATTTTTCATATTTTTTTAAAACAAAATCAGTGTAAAGTTAAAAACACATCTATCTTGTTCTAAAAAATAAAAATAAAAATAAAAAATCTTAGCTTATTTTTTATTTTTCAAAAACACTTTTCAAAAAATTTTACTTTCTTATTTTTCATATTTTTTTGTTTTTACTAAATTTTTTTAATATTTTAAACGATTTTTAAAAAAAAATTTAAACACAACTAACATAAATACACATAAAAAGTATAAATTTTGTAAAATTTTTTTTAAAAAATTCATTAAATACAAAAAATACAAAAAATAAATAAATACAAAAATTCAATATTTTTTTCATATTTTTATATATTTTTTAATTTTTTAAAATATTTGCTCACAAATTTTTTACTTTTTAAATACATCTGATATCTAAAAAATAAAAAAAAATTGCTTAAAATTTAAAAAATATTCACTAAAAATAAAAAAATACGAAAAACAAAAAACTCAATATTCAAAAAAATTAATTCAAAAAACTCAAACCAACCGCACACTATCATTTTTATAGTAACTGTTTAAAAATTTAGAAACCTTTTCCTAAAAAAATGGGAACTTTCAAAAAAATTATTGAAAGTAGTCTTCAGAAATAATTTACCAAACAAGCTTTTCATGTCAATTTCTATTTTCAAAAACAGAAAATAGAAAATAAAAACAAAGCCAAACACGCACACACGTCCGGCGTGTGGGAGGATTGCAACCTGCAAGAAGGCTTCAAAGCTTTAAACTTTTAGAGTACATCCTTCCATGGT